CCAAGTAAATTATACTGTGGAAAATTTATTCAAAATAGTCAGATTCTCATTTAATGCATTTAACTTAGTCTACTATTATAACCGGTATAATATAATAACTATGTTCAGCAAAAATCTATTCTATTAAATGAGTTAATTTTTTCCTCCGAAGTTTCGTTGATCACAGAGAAGCTCGGAGTATGAACGTAACTAACTGGTCCAGTCGGTTACCTAGAGGAATCATAAATGGCGTGGATAGGATTATTTGATTATGAAAGCACACTACGGCTCTAGGATTACCTATTACCCTAGGATAGGGATGCCTATGTGGAAGACTTTCTAATAGTGTTATCAAACATCATTCTATTTCGAAAAAGCAAACATTTCAAGCCATTTTTCTACCGGCTTTATCACTGAAAGAAAAATGACGATGTTTCCCTCCCTTCCGAAAAAAGTTACATTTTGTACATTTTTCAACGAATCAGATATCAGAATCGAACCAAAGAACTTAAATGGGAATTCTTTGTTCGTAGTCTCTGCGTTTGTAATGAAGGACCACCCTTCCGTTCACGCGATAACTTAACAGTGGTCTGTAGTGACTGGCTGTTTTATGGCTGTGACTAAGCAGAAAATCTGTATTAAGAAGTTGTACTTCCGAAGAGTTGCTCAATGTGTGACAAACACGAAAACTACCATGCAGTAAGCCAGTGCCAAGATTTGAATTCAGGTCAAACTACCAGTGTGCAGCCATTTCATCCACTCGGCTACTGGTGGACTTTCGGGGAAGAAAAAGGAGTTCGCGATAAGCCTTTCTGAAAGAAGACAATAATTTTGTCGAATTCCAACATTGTGGAAACAGATATAAGCAGATTTAGCTTGAGAATGAAGAGTATGCGAAGCAAAGCACGAAATAGCAAGGTTCTATGTGATTACCAAAACTAAATAGACCTATAAATTCTACGGGCTATTAAAGAAATCTTAATTAACAAATCAGATACCGGGAAGTAATTGCTAAGAATTAACAATGATGGCTAAAAAACAATATCTAAAATTTATTGAATGTCTGGGATAATGTTTAGGCAGATTGTAAGTTTGGCTTAATTTAGTAGGAAATGTTTGAAGACAGGAACTAAAGAAATTAACGGAATAATTGCAAGGTATTTTTTCTATTACCTTGTGCCTTCGTGTTCTAATTGGAAAGCACGTCCGACTAGCAATCGGAACGTCTGGAGTTCGAATCCGAGCGAAGGCATTGCTGATTCTTCACGCTTGTCAGCTCTGAAACACCTAATGATTTTACACGATTATTGCCTCTTTCTTAGGGATAACAGCTGGTGTGCCTTTTTAAATTACCATTATTAAAATGAAATAATGATATAAGAATGTAATGAAATGATAGGCAAAAAATATGGACAAGGTAATAATTGTATTAAATATAAATTTACGTAGTATAAATTGGTGTACATAAAAACAGTAACTATTCACCGATAAAAGCATAATTCATTGTTTAATTATTAAAATCATATTTACCCATAAAAAGAAATATTTTAATTCTGGCAGGCCGAAAGCCAAAAACTAATATTTTGTATTAAGGTAAGCATGCAATTTAGAACACAACATTTAATGCTATTATGAAATTGGCTATCAAAGAATTTTAGGTATAAAATTTAAATTCTTATTTTTAAGAACACAGATTACAGAAATTTATGTGTAGGCCACTTCAGTCGCGGAAACAATTTTTGGTAAATTATCGCCCTTGTTACATTTTACATTTGTAAAAGAAATTATGGAACAGTGTCATAAAAAGTTATAATAGCTTGTAACAAAACGTTACACAAATGTAGTAATAATTTCTAAAAGGATAAAGACAACACTTCCACCTTGCAGCAAGTACAGACACACGCAGGATCCTGTGAAAGTAATTTAAAATAATTAAATGAAGAGCAAAAAGTTAATTTGCAGAATTTAATGAACGCTTATTACGTGTCAAAAGTATATTTAATAATCATAAATATAGCATAGATTTGAGGCTTAATACAGCACACTGATGGAGGACATTTAAAATGTCAACTATTTACTCACTTAACACCAGGTTATAAGTAAGATTTTCAAATATAATTGAAAGATGAAGTGACTGAATAAATTGAAGAAAACTATACGTGCTATATAAACTTCAGTGTAGAAATAGACTTTAATACAGATCAAAAAGTAAATAAAACATTCAAACTGCAAGAGGTTTTTGTTTCGCTGGCAGCATACAAATATATGTCTATTGTAAAATAACCATCAGTAGCAGGAAATACTCACGAAGAGAATAGAGAAATCTGGTGACATAAAATATGCAAAAAAATGAAAAATCAGTAAAAAATATGTAAAAAATCCATTGATAGTTGAAAACGTCTGTCGGGTGCAATCTCATCAGGGGATAAAGCATGACAAACTAATATATCGAGTGAGAACAATGCACGTCACGCAGTGGTTGATTGTGTATTGAGTCTCCCCACCATAAAATAGCGCATGATAGACTCAGTCATCAGTGGACTAGTTTTCCGCCTATTTTTTTATTGATTTTTCACGTTTTGCATACTTCATTAAATTTCCTTTTACTTCATATTCTGATGGACTCTTGAAAAATATAAGCAGACGACTAGTGGCTGATTGAAAAATATGGAAGTTCACATAAGTTTTATTCGTGAAGGTTAAATAAGCGAGCTGTAGGAGGGTTTCGCAGTTTTCCTCCCATATAACGTAAATATGGGATGAATATTCATTCAGGCATTCTTTCCGAGTTCATCACAGGTCGAGCGACCGAAATCGTTAAATACTAATAGCTTGTCCTCAGTTCATTTCCTCGTGAGCAGGTTGACTATATATTGTTTTCGTGGCTGCGTGATATATGCATGATGAAAATACGAGCCATTTTTTCATAGAAGGCACTTCACGAAGACGTCCCTTCTATTACCCTGATGGCCTTCATATCCCTTCATTTAAGTAACCAACGAGTTAAATCCGAGTTCGTATTCTTAATCATTCTCTCCTAATTATTTCTTTATCCCTAAAATGTGCATGGTAAAACTTTGTCTTTTCAATCTACGCTGAGTAACACATAGAAAAGTGATCCCCAGAATATCAATAATACGCCACTGGCCGCAGCATTATTGATAGCTCATTTGAAAATATTTTTACAGTAAGTTTAATATTTGCAGGGATTTAAAACAAATTCACACCACAATTCACAAATGTCATGGGGCATAAAACCGAGGCAAAAAATTCTCTTAAGACTGAAACTATTCTGCAGTATCCTATATTTTCCAGAACTGAACTGGAAAGACTCCTCAGCTACATCATGAAAAAATTTTAAGAGAATAGATGTTTAAAGACACTTGTCTCTAAAAGTACCGCTGAAACTAAAGAATTTGATAGAACCTCTGCAATCATGGCATACCTTAGATTCATGACCTGAGTTATCGTACCTCCTCTTTTCAGTCTGTTATTGGTTTTAGGAATTAGAAAGTTTTTATTTACCTGCTATATGTCAAGTTAAACGTATTTCTGATTCCAGCTGTCATCTTTATAGCAATATGGGAATGCGCCCGCTCGGTTATTATATTCCTCACCATTTACTGGACAATTTATTTGCAGAATAATATTACGCATTTATTTGAATCTAAATCCCAACAGTTTGTATACTATTGTATACTAATTCTCTTCTGCTTCCTTTTTTTCTGAATTTAATTCAAACAAAAAGGAAGTAAAATAGAATTAATCCTCATTATTAAACATCGGTCTTCGTAATAAGTAATTTATTTTAACATCACCATATTGGAATTTATCTGTAATGTTATTTCATTCTAACTCAAAACAAAAGATATCTTAGATCAGGGTGTCAACCAGGGGAGTATGCTCTCCTAGGAGGAAATTTTATTGTTCCAGGAGTGGGAAGAATGCGGTCAGCATTTTATTTACACGTTAAGTACTATTTAGTTTTACTTTATGAATGTAAAAAAAAACTACTTTTATTCAGATTTTGGTATTTATCAAAATGTTTTCAACTTTTTCTAGCTTAATTTATAAAACACATTAAAAACAGATTTAAAGAAATGTACGAGACAAAATTAAGAGATGGAACACTTTTTCCCAAATATCTAAAGAAATACTGGATAGAAATAAATTAAATTAGGTATGAATGTAGTTTATTACATGACAATAATGTGCACAAAACAACAAAGAAAATGCCATTCATTACTCTAAGATCACTGGTCTGTACCTGTGGGCATTCACATTCCTTAGCACGAGTTATGGCCAAGTGTATATATACGTATATATATTTTTTTGAGTTTGGGAATGGAGGGGAGGGCGAATGATTGTCTAGGAATAATGAAAGGGGCATGCAACAAAAAAATGTGAGAATTATTGTCTTACATATTTCTTACAGAATTTTTATTAGTATCCCAATTAGTATGACCAAACTAACTATCTCTCAAAAAATAGCATGCATTTAAATAATTACCTAAAATTGGGTCATAGGTAGCTAAAAATTCTAATTCATAGCTTAGTTGATATTTGATGAGTTTTTAGAGCTTATGTGATTTGTAAATTCTTATTTTCTAGATGCCCACCAGCGGCCGAGCGGTTAAGTCGCTGAACGCTAGTAGTTCGAGACGAGGTTCGAGTCCCATAAACGGGCTGGCTGCATGGGAGATTTCGTGGTTTTCCCCATGTGTAACTACTCTGGTGGACAAAATTAAGAGATGGAACACTTTTTCCCAAATATCTAAAGAAATACTGGATAGAAATAAATTAAATTAGGTATGAATGTAGTTTATTACATGACAATAATGTGCACAAAACAACAAAGAAAATGCCATTCATTACTATAAGATCTCTTGCCTGTACCTCTGGGCATTCACATTCCTTAGCACGAGTTATGGCCAAGTGTCCAATGGGGTCCAAATTTGAGGTTCAAAGATTCCAGTGAAAATATGGCTATTATGGTGTGTGGTCTTCTCTGGCAGACAGACAGCATGCACAACGAGTAGCCATACTGTTAACAAGAGAGTTCGAGCGTGCCTGGGGAAATGGCACACATTCCTCCACCAGAGCAATTTTTTAACTACTGAATGGTTCTGTGTGGCATTTGGCGTATTGCAGTAGCCTCCCAAGAAGAGTCTAAGCATGTTTAACAGTATTAAGGTCAAGAAATTTGGCTAGCCCATCCATTTGGAGAATATTGCCGTTTTCCAGATAGTCATCAACCACATGGGCCCTATGTGGTCGTGAACTGTCGTCCATAAAAATGAGCCCACAGTCAACAATACCCCTGAAAAATTGCACATATGGCTTTAAGATCTCTTGCCTGTACCTCTGGGCATTCACAAAATCAGTGCCAAACACATGGAGTGGTCTGCGGGTATCTTTCATGCAGGAATGAAGGTCTGCCCAGACCATCATTCCTGCACCACAATATTTATACATTTCCATGATGTTGCTGGGATGGTATCGGATCTCAGGTTCCCTCCACATCAATAATCGCCGAGAATCAGGTTGTAAACTGAATCTGGACACATCCGCAAAAAGAACATTAGCCCATTTGAAGCTGCATCCAGTGTTTTGGGTGTATGCACCATTCCATCTTTTGTGGAAGTGAGTGAGTTTGTTGCAAATAGCGAACTTTCTGGCATACAGTCCTGTCTCATGGAACCTTCTGTCAACTGCCCTCCTTGAAAGTGATGTTCCTGTGGCAGTAACGAGGTCACGAGATAGTTTTGTGGCTGTAGGCGTTCTTTGGCACTTAGCTGAAAGTACAAAATACCGGGGGGTTTTCATTGGTCATTGTGTCTCTCAGGCGAACTTCTCCTGGTCTTCTGGACACTATTCCATGTTTTTAAATTGATTCCACAAATTAGAGATGACACTTAGTGTTACATCCAGTTTTCTTGCAACCTTAGCTTGGGACGGCCCTACCTGAAGCCTACACATAATATTCCATCTCATACGTTCGTCTAAGCGATGATTACTCATTTCACGTAAAACACAGAAAAAAAAAAAAAAGATTATTCAAGAAAGACAATAAAAATCACTACTGTGTTACAGAGCGGAATGAACTGAGCAGTTGTCCTTCTCCTGGCGTAGCGACGCTTACAGGAATACGTAAACTCAGCTAAGCTACACCACCGCCACAGTGACATTATATGGCAACCAACTGCCCAGGTTTTGTGTGGTATTTTAGGAGAAATCTGGGAAAATGTTTTCCATTTCTTAATTTTGTCCACCAGTATAGTATATGAGCTAGTTTCCCTTAAGAAGTCCTTCCGAAGAGCAAATAGCTCTCGAATGCTTTGCCATAATTAAATAAACCAAACCAAACTTTCTATCCAAAAATGATCTCCACATCTATTAAGCCTTATAAAATAATTCTACTTTCTTTAAAATTAATTTTTACAATTGTCTTCTTCATGTTTAAAGAATTAGATATCTAAAGATCTGAAATCACTATACACTTTCACGAGACGAGAGAATGCTTTGTAGGAGCAGTAACGTATTTTAAACTTTTATTACAGCTGTAACCATATAATTTGAGCTACGGAAGACAATGTCTTTGATAGATCTTCTTCTAATAGAAAGATGCAACCAAAGACACTGTCAAAATAAGAAAATCAAGAAAAAAGAGGTGTCAGTGCGAAGCCTAATGGAACCATGAATTTTGGGTTGAAGGTGATTTTAGAGAATAAAGACTGCGACGGTTTTTATGACTTTACGTGAAAACGACTTTACTTTTACTTTACGTGAAAAAGTACGTAACTTTTTTAATTTACAGTTTTGTTTGAAGATAAAAGGATGATTTTTAAAAATAAATAAAAAAGTAGAATTCCATAAAAAGTAAGTAAATAGTGCGTACCTTTTATTATGCACAAGGACCCTAACCGAATAATATTAGTTGCATAAGTAGATATTCTATTTACGTATTATTAAAAAATTTAAAAAAATTCTGCGATGGGTTGCGACCTCTAGTAAATACTTGCATTTAAAACTTGTAGTATTAATACCTACATTTAAAACTATGTTTTTTTTATCATCAGAATCACTGCTCGCTTTAATGCTATAAGTACCACTGAGTTCCAAATTATTTAACAAGATTATAAATAAATTCAAACAGTCCAGGCTTTTTTTTCCCTTTCTGAATCTTATGTTGTTAATAATATTTTATTAAAATATCGGTAATGAAAGTATCAGTCCTTTAATTTTTTCCGTCTAAGTTCTTACCGTTTTATTGAACTGTAAATAAATGTAGATTTATTCATTTTTTCTACTCTATGTTTGTTAATTAAATGTCTAATTATTTTGAGAAAAACGTTTTCAGCAGTATTTTAGAACAACTTTATTTCGTAAAGAAGTAAATTAATTGGGTATACAAAAAATTTAGTCATCAAACTCACGACATTGTAACTGGAAATCTGTTCTTTCCTGTTCCAATTAATAACTTTTTATTTTGCTTGAAGAAAATCATACGCCGTTCAGTGAAAGATACTTCTGGAGGAATCTAAACTAAATGGTGACGAAAAAAAAAATAGATGTGTGTCTTAAAAAAAAAGATTGTGCATAAAGAAAGAGAGGGCAAATATCGTAGAAGCGTAAGAAAGGCACTGTGTATCATCCGAGAGGAAACAATTCTTTTCAACAGTTACAATGTCAAACGTCATTCCAAGGTTAAATATCTTCCCCGTCTCCTTTTTTTCTTAATTTTTTTTAAACCTTAATGTAGATTGTAACAAGAGTTAAAGAAAAGTTCTTTTGCGTATTGTTAATAAGACTGTGAATAACCTACACATTTTAAAATCATCTTTTAGCCTGAAAATGGTTTCCACTTCTTTTAGTTTGCAGTTAATATGAAAATTTACTTCGTGAATATTTCACTAAAGCTTACATAACGATTATTAAATATCTTTCATGTTAATTCTCGGGTGAGAGTGGAAAAAAAATTCAGACTCAGATTTTAAACAAATGTGGCATATGAACTGTTTCAAAAAACGTAAAACATTTTAATTCGAGGGCCTTTTATACAGTCTATTAGGTTTTACAGAGCATTAGACATTAGAAAACAAGTATGCCTTCAGCGAAAATCAACCCATGGGCCTTCCAACTGCTAGCAGGACCATTTACACTCTGAGACCACCTGAAGGGGATATGTACAAATATTCCTTGTAAACTGATTAGTAGTTGTGTTAACGTCCCATTTCATTACTAGAATCTCAAGGGGTTAAATATTTTCATTGCTTCAAAGTCAGCTTGTCGATCGACGATCTACAGATTATGGACTCTCAGGTACGGCTTTCATTTTTACTGTTTTTAGCATCATGTATAATGTTATGTTTCTTGCCATTCTAATGTTATAATGCCGAACTGAAATCTGCATGTAATGGAATGCGTATTGCTGTTCTACGATATAAACATACGTATAACTGAATAACGTTGTACCTTTGTGAAAATCCTAAAGATTATCAAATTGCAAGTATTTTTCTAAATAATGTTGTTATCGAGTGTTAGAGCTTCGAGCGAGTGTTAATTAGAGCTTCTGGCAACCGCATGCTGTTGTTAGTATTTATGACAGCTTTTGACAGCTCTGCATAAAAGTTATATTCCTGCTTTAGCATTCTCGCTAGCCGATGTTTTTAGTACACGTCCGGTAAAATATCTGATCTCTTTCGTGCGCAGTCTTAGACTACCATTATTGTTTACTAAATTGAAGTGTCTGTTATGTTAATTTAAACATCCAAAAGTGGTGGAGGTTTCCTCTTTAGCACAAGTTGTAACTGTTCTATTGTCTTAAGCCTAAATACAAAAAAAATTTTAACCTTCTTCTGTATTTTATGAGTTATTTAAGACGTAGTGACAAATCGCTATTTTTCTAGTTACTTTAGGTTCAAGTTACAATAGAAACCCTATAAATGATCTATAGGATAGTGATACAGGTAATATTTTAAAATTAGTAACAAAAAATGTCGTTAAATTTGTCTCGATGCTTAGAGAACAATTGCATTATACCGAAACATCATACAATATGCATAACTGAACAAACAGAAAAGACAAAAAATATAGTCATTATTTTTATGACAAGATGCAACAGAAAAATGTCCGTATCAATTCCGGATTCACAAAAGAAAATTTTTAGGAAAAGTTAACAATTTGAAATACTTCTGACAAAGCCAGGACATATACGATTGTTATTAGATCTTCCTGTCGTAATAACGATAAAATATCGCCAAGATTCTGGAACATTTTGGGGGTATTCACTCTGTGAACAATATTACAAAAGTTTAACCGGATTTATTATAAATCACTTAAAATTATCAAACATCAATATTTTGGACTTATGCAGACAATTAGATTACAGCCGCGTCAATAAACGAGGCAAATGTAAAGGAGTCCCCGAAAAAAAACTATCATGGAGCCAAGTGCTTCTTTAATTCTGAATTTATCCTAATGTCCGCTAAATCATTGATCAAATGGTTCATGGATTGAAGTTGACAATTAACGATACAGCTAAAATTTTATTTGAAGCAATTAACTTTTTAAAGATCAACACAGGAATTATGCAATATATTTAATATTAATAAAAATTATGCTATATCAAAAAACATATTTAAAATTAAATTTAAAACCTTTTTCTACTGCCCGGCAAGAAAGAAATATTCAAGCAATAAGGCTCTTTAAATGTTAACATAGGAGAAATTTGTCTGGTTTTATTAGATGTTTTCTAAATAGGGTGCGGAGAATCAAAGGCAGTCCTCTCTGTATCCTTTGGGTGACATAGCATATCCAACAATCAACTGGAAAGTCTCGGATTCAGTTACCGCCCAAGGCAAGGTTGAATGACTGAATTTTCAAGATTCTTGATTGTAAAACAACTTCTCGACTCTTTAAAGAACGTGAAAAAAACGGAATCTACTGATAGTTTAAAAATTTTTTAATTACAAGTTGAACCCCCCATTAATATTTGGCACTGCATGTTAAGTCTCTTACTGATTGCCTCTATAAGCAAAATG